AAGGCAAAATACTATCCCAATTATGGTAATGTAGCTTTTCAGTCTGACAGCAGTTTGAAGCAGTGTGATTGTTGTGTTAACCCAGTAGGCAGCTCAGTGCCATGCTTGCTACCCCAAAGTGGATACAGGAAGGAGCTGGGTATTGAGATAAAGATAATTTTAATAGGACAGGAAAGGAAGGGAAAATAATGATGATGATGATTAAAGACTATACAAAACAAGTGATGCAGAAGTGCAAGTGACCCATGCCCAGCCAGTCCCTGAGCATCAACTCCCCACTCCATCCAGCTCCCTCACTTTTATCATTCACCATGATGCCATATGGTATGGGATAGCCCTTTGGCCTGTAGGGGCCAGCTGTCCTGGTTGTGTCCCCTCCCTGCTCCTTGTGTTCCCCCAGCTCCTCAGTGGTAGGGCAGGACAAGAAGCTGAAATGTCCTTGGCTCCATGAGCACTGCTCAGCAACAACTAAGGCATCAGTGTGCTACCAACATTACTCTCATAATAAATGCCAAACACTGCACCATCCTAGCTACTTGGAATAAAATTAACACTATTCCAGCTGGGAATAGCCAGGACTGGGACTTCAATTAGAATTAGAAATAATATAGATTGTGTTTCAAATGAAGTTCTAAATAAACATAAGTTTCTCAGTAATTAAATTATGTGAAAAACAAAATTTTTTTAACCACCTTAGTCTTAAGAAAATTGTAAAAAGTGGCTCTGTAGGATGGTCTCCCAAGGATTTTGTACTGAGGCTGCTCTGCTGAAGGGTTCTTATTACTCTCTGGTACTCTTGCTGGTGTTCATGATAGTTCAAGAAGAAAGAACAGACATGAATGTGCAGTCAGATCAGGGGAAAGCAGTCTCTAGGGGAAGCAAAGAGAAACACATCTGTTTAACCTGTCTGTGGGACAGGATCTGTAGGATCTGGCTCTCCTTTGAAGAGGGTGTGCAGACAGGAAAAGACTTTCTTCAGTTCAAACAAAATATTCTTAGCCTGGGGAAAGACACAGCTCTGAAAAAAGACTCTCTAGAGAAATGCCAAGTGTGGTATTCCTCATTGTCACCCACCTTGTGCCCATCTGCTTTCTTTTCAGCATGTGCTCTATCAGCACATTTGTGTGAATGCTGTATAGCACTGTGCTTGGGCATGCAGCACCTCATCTGCTCTTGAGGATTTGCTGACAGCCTCACAGTAGTGAAGTAGTGAAGCCTGAAGAGCCCACTGTAGGGCTCGGTGCCACCTCCAGCATGTGGTGATGTTGTAACAGGGACAGTGGGAATGTGGCTGCCCTCTAATCCCTCTTGGCTGTTCTGGCTATTTTGGCCATCACACCAGTCCACAAAGAGATAGATTATTTTGAAAGAAAGGATGCACTACCATCATAGTGCAAAGAGAAGCAGCACTTTTGTTTGCAAAATCAGGAGCTAAATCAGCAAAGTATACTGGCCAAAAACTCTTTATGCATTGAACCTTACTGGAATATCAGTAACATAAGCTATATCTTTGAGTGCAGAATTATTACTAAGACAAAGTCATTATATGTTTTTAGGTTCCTTCACACATTTTGACTCATGCTGCGAGTTCATATTAACAACATCATAACATAAGAAAAAAAGTTCTGTGCATGTATATAAAATTTCTGGTACATTCACAAATCTGTGGCATCCCTGTTCAGAGAACAATTGTACACACAATTCCAATGGCTAAATGGGGCTTTCTTTGCATATGTAAGTCCAATTCTGTCCGAAAAATGTGAACAATAATTTACTGTGCCTCACCTTGGGAGGGCAGCTGAAGAATGTGCTGGTGCCCTTGAAGTACTGAAGCCAGGTGGCAAACTGTTGTGGTTTCAAAGCCAGCATAATCTGGGTTTTGGTCTCCCTCCAGTAAATCGTCCACGTAGCTAGGGACCACTTACCCTTTTCGTGCCCTTTTCTGTCAACAGTTTTCTGTGGTCATTGTCTCTCTTTCAGCTGACCTGTTGTATTCAAATCAAACTTTTAATTGAGGTGCAGTTTGGAATATCACCTAATCTGTCCATGACAGCAGGATGCGTTCTGTCAGTGTGCTGAGCGAGGAGGGAGTGCAAAAGCATTTGGGCTCAGTACACAAGTATGTCTACATCCAAGAGACATTTCTGACCCAACTTTATATTTGCAAAACATTTCATGGTTTGTTTTGTTTTAATTGAAATGATTCATGTTGAAAAATGGAGACCAGAAAGTATGCAATAGCAGAAAGGTTTCGTATTCATATTTTTACGAATACAGATCTTTATATTTTAATACCAAAGAGCCTGTGATTTCAAAAATCCATTATACTAAAACCCTTTTAATTCTCAGTTGAAATGAAAAGCTTATAGGGCAGAGTTCAAATAAACTATTTTGTTTATCTCATGACTGATGTATTTTAGTTGCTTTGGCTCTTTATAGAGGGGAAAAAAACCAACCAAAATAAAACAACAACAACAAAAAACTTTAGATATTTGAACAGCTTTTACTGAAAATAAAATACCAACACAGCTGAAAATGTCAGTGCATTAGTATCTCTGGGTCAGCTTTTTGACCTTGCTGCTCTAGTTTGAAAAAGTACTTTGTAAATTAAAAAATATGCATGTATAACTCAAAGGCTATAAAAGTGAGAATTTTGTATCTTTCCTAAAAAAATGTTTGTCTAATCTTCTTAATACTTCCCGTGATAGAAACAGACAACTTCCCCAGTCCTGAATTAATTTCATAGAAAAAATTGTTCAAGTTTTTGATTGATTTTTTTTTCCTCCAATGCAAGCTCATGCATTTTTATCCAACCTGCTGTAGATACACAGAACAACCTTCCTTGTTTGTTGGTGACAGCCTTGAAAATCTGTTATTATGCTCATTCTAAATTTTCTCTTCTTTAACTTTATCAGTTCCAGTTCTCTGAATCTCTCTTCACAGGTCATATTTTCTAGATTTCTGATCTCTTTTCAGAAAGATATAGAGCTCTTTCTTAGGGCTTTTTCAGATAGCTCATGCTTTGAAATCTGGTGCCCTAAATGGATACAGCATTCCAGCTCAAGCTTTACCACTGCAAAGCAGAGTTGAAAGATTAATTCCTGCTCTTTGCAAGCTGTTCTCCCATACACATTGCAGTATGGTGACTGCCTTTTTTTTGCAGAAGCACAACTGTGACTCTTGCTCAGCTTGTGATCTGCTGTATCTCCCAGGTTGCCATGTGGTGTTTCCCATCAGGAACAGCTGATTATTTCTGCCTGAATGTAGTCTCTCCTGGTTTTCCATACAGCATTTCAAACTCCTTTTCTAAGCAGTGCTCCCATTTCTGAAATTATTTAAAGTTTTAGCAATGCTTTCCTGTTGCTCATATTTAGTGTGATTTCTGTTCTATCATTTGAGTTCTTAATGAAAACATTTTCCATTTTGTAATGGACTTCCATTCGGTATGAATTTTCAGTTGTTTAGAGACTCATTAACAGCAGCTCTCTGGTTATGGCTTTACACTCACTTTTCACTCACTTTAATCTGAGCCTTGTTTCTTATATTAGCTTTTGAAATTGTTGTGCGAAATGATGTCAAAAGTCTTGCTGAAGTCAAAATATATGACAGACTTTTGGTTTTCCGTCATGACTCATACAATCATAGATTGATAGGTTGGAAAGACCAGTAAGATCATCCAGTCCACCATTAACCCATGCGTGTGCCCGCTCTAGACCATGTCCCTCAGTGCAACATCTACTCTTTTCTTGAACACCTCCAGGTACAATGACTCCAGCACTTCCCTGGGCAGCTTGTTCTGATGCCTGAATTTCTTCCTGATATCCAAGTTGAACCTCCCCTGGTACAACTAGAAACTATCACCTCTATTCCTCTTGCTGTTACCTGGGAGAAGAGGCTAACCTCCACCTCACCACGACCTGTTAGGCAATTGTAGAGTGAATACTCTCATCCACCTCCCAAGCAAACTGCCTTGTGATTTGTTGCAGACAAACTCATTACTTACCTGCCTATCACTCCTTTTTTTTATGTTTCCTGAGTATTTGTTCAGATTTTTTTAGTGCATTGAATTTGAACTGACTGCTCTAATAATGAAAGCCATCTGATATACCATCTTTGAGAATTTCTCACTGACAGTTATAGGTAGTGCTGAAGCCATTTCATTACCTTCTTGGCTATCATAGGATTAAGTCCATAATACACACATGACCTGAAAACTTACAATTTATGGAAATGTTTTTAGTTTGTTTTACCATTTTAGGCTATTAAATTTCCTTGTGACTGGGCACTACAGGTGCTATCTGCTGTGCTGCAGTGGCCACCATGGGTTGAAAGGAGAGGAGTGTTTGGTTCAGCCAAGCTCTTGATCTACTCATATCAAATTCAGCCCAGAGTCACCACATCTGCAGTTATAGTGGCAGTGCTGACAGTGTTGAATCAAGTAATTGGGAAAAGAAGATGGGAATATGTAGTAGTTCAAGGTGAATAGAAAAACTTTTATTTCAGACATGGGTTACTTGTAATGGAATGACACTAAGTATTATTTCCAGAATCTGACAGTAAGTTTCGTAATGTGAAATACCATCCAGGAGTCCTAACTGAAGCATGTTATTCTGACACCAGACTCCAATCTTCATCTATTTAAATAAATCTCTTGGGCCGGGGGGCACAAGGGACAAGATATATAGGAAAGGAAATGAGAATGTTATCTCCACTTTGCTGTGTAATATGCATTTAAGAATGGCTAGAACTCTCTGAATAATGAATATATCTCTATGTCACGGCAGTGCAAAATACTGTCTGTAGAACAGTAATTGCAAATGAGAACTGAGAAACAGTTATTGGAAAATTGTTATAGACCTTAGTAAATTGCTAATTTAAAAAAAAAAAAAAAAAAAAGCCATAGATTTCATTTTGTAGTATGACTTTCAATTATGAAAAACATATATCATATTTCAAAACTCGAATGACTCTGATACTTTTCTTTTTTAAATTCCTTGCAGCTCCCAGACAGCTGTATAATGGATTACTATGAAAAATACAAGCACAGAATGAATGAGCTTGAAGCATTTAATATGGTAAAAGTTATAAGATTAATACCATTACCTTGTATATATATGGTAGTTTAGAACAAAGCCCTGTTAAGTTTTATGTGGAGGTAGACTGTCTTACATTCTGGTATGCAATCTCAAAAACAAAGCAGCTCCATTTCCAAACTTTGGAGCATATCTCATTCCAAAACTATATTAGGTGTCAGTAAAATAATAAAGCGAACACATGGAAGATTCTTTTTCAAGGGGGACCATTACCCTGGAAAATAAAATGTTAGTCTCCTTTTAAACCTAGAATGGTCTCCATGCAGTTATTTCATAAAAATTCTTTATATTAAAATTCATTATTTCCCTCTTTAAAATTGTTCTGCCTCATATAATATCATTTTCATGTTGGACAACACTTCAAAACCAACTAATAATGTAGTTTTCTAGTTTTATGGCTTTCCATGTATTTTTGATCTTTAATGTAATCTGTTCTGAAGATGTCCATCCTACAAGGTGACATTTGTACAACAAAACCCCTAGAAATTGATTGACCTTCCTGGTATTATTTTGTTGAAGTGGAGCCATTGGGAAGTTGGCTCCCTTTCCCAAAATCATAACAGTATCTAATCTTTCTTTCAGCTAAAGGTTGTGCTAGCTCCCTGCATAGAAGTTTTGATACTTCTGGATCGTCTTTGCTACCTCAAGGAGCAGGTATTTTTGCATTACATTTTATGGTACCTAAAGGCTACATCAGAGAAATGAGACTATTTCAGCCCATTTATTACTGTGCAGACAAAAGTCTCTGTTGTAGAATTATTTTCTCATATTTGCAAAAGTATAAGCATTCATTCTATTTAGTATAAACATATGCCCAGCAGATGTTTTTATTTTCAGTAAAGCAGCAACAGTAAAGCTTAGGTTCATTTAATCGAATAGTAATTACAAGTCAATAAATGATAAAAAATGAATAAATTGTATATGCAACAAATCTCATTTAATATGACATAGAGATTATTAAAAAAAATATTGGAAATGCATGACAAACATTATACTGCACATTTTAGAGCTTCCAAAGGATATTTTGTAGAACATATAATTCAAGAAATTTTTAATTAGGTCCCATTACATTATTTTTATTGTCTAGAATATCTGTGATGAGAGAGGTACACTTTTTCCAACCATATGGTTCAACTGAAGTACATTTGATAAGCAAATGCTACTTTATTTACTCTATAATAATTTGTATCACAGTGTTTCTACTAACACTAATTTTGACCTTGACTTGATAAATTCAGAAGCATCAATCATTCTTTCTCTGCACTGGTAAACGTATTTTTGAACAAGCAACAATTTTATTGGAGGACATGGTAGCATCTTCCAGCTCCTGCTTTGGTCCATGGTGGAAATGAAATTTTAATATACAGTTTAAACCCATTCATGTGAATAGCTGTTTTTCCACTATAAGCCTTTCATTTTAACAGCTTCTTTTTATCATATCTAAAAATTTACTTTCTTCTTTGCCACAGAGCTCTTGGAACAATTGAGCTGTAGTAAATGTATGTTTTTGTTCTAGCTGGTATTTTTACAGAGAGACAATATGAAATATTTAAATAATGATCTATTTTCCCGCATGCCAACCAGTTATAAATCACAGAGATCTGTATGATTTCCAAGACAGGAGATCAGACTTGCTGCATTTAGTTCTAATTTACCTTTCCTAAATGTAATATACCCATTGATTTAATCTTGTACTGGTTGATTTACAAAATATGTTTAGGAAGAAAAAATAGAAATGATAAAAGCCATATGCAACATGAAGACCAGATCCAGCTGGCCTTATTCATTTGAAAAGTCAGTTAATTAGCTGCAGTAGTAGAATGTGCTGCATAAAACAAGTAGGACTTGATCCTTAATATATTTTCTGTAGTTCAGCTGGGAAAAAAAAAAAGCTTTATTGATGAAGGAGGCGGTAAATTGTCATTTCATGGTGCCAGAAATAGTTTAATGACTTTAAGATATATCCTTCTTCGCATTTCCTTTATTTTTTTACAACAAGCTTTCACTATTTTTATTGTTAGATCAGTGTTTTTCCCATTTTGCATTAAGAATTTGGGGGGGGCGGGAGGAGAGGGGTGAGAAAGCGGATCTATTACCATATCTTAGCTTTTAAGTCAAAGACATTTTAATGTACTTCAATCATATATCGCTTTACAGAGCAACATAGCCTGGTCAGGACTTGTGAAGTTATTTGATCCTGTGAAATCCCCCAGATGCTGTGCAGTTATTGCTCTGAAGAAACAGTCGTGTCTTTAAGTGGAAGCAAACTGCAGATGGGTTGAAAGCTCTGAACTGATACTGCTATTTCCTCACTGTTCTTTTTAATTGATTCCTCAAGTATACTGATACGTTTGGCAACTATTTACTTTTCAGATGCAAAAATAATAAATGCAATGCCTCTGTGAATCATAAGAAATAAATTGTGAACTGTACCTCTTTTATAAATACCACTGCTTCCTCATGTCAGTTATTAAGTAATGCAGAACATATGATTTTCTTGTAAAAGTTATGACCTGTATTATGTGATTAGCATTTTAAAATAATTTTAATGTTTTGTCTTTTTAAGGTACTGTTCTTATCTATTGATGTCCCTCCTGTTGGTATTTTTAATTTCAAGATTATTCTTCCATAGAAATTTTGAATTTTTCCAATGGATGACATCAACAATCTTAGGCAAGCCTAGCTTTTTTCTTTTCTGGATTCAGATCACACATAGTTTAAACAGAAAATTAATCTGTGTTATAGACAAGAAGCGTGTAGACTAAGTAAGTCTTTGTACTTCCCTGCTCTCCAAGTGAACTAAAGCAGCTTACTATAGAGCAACCCTGAAGAGTCTAGAACCTTCTAAGACTAAGTACTAAATACCCACAAAAGGGGGTTTTATATTAATCTCTTCTTCCTTCAGGTGTGTTCCTGACATGTCTTGCTTGCCAGTGACTCTGAAAGAAACAACTGACTGTGATGTAATCCATTGTATCCCAGTATTAAATAATCAGCTGCCCTGCTGGATTTACTCTAATCCTTGGGTTTTATCAGTAAGCTATTAACTGGCCCAAATGTGTTAGGTATAAGTATAAAAATTTTGGTGCCTAAATTACTTGAAACTTTCTAGGTAGTTTCTGCTTGGCCATACTGACTTTATGCGTGAGAAATTTATTTGTTGATGTGCTCATCTCAATGGGTTGCCTCCTTAAACATGCAGATATACTATCAATTAAAAAAAGAGAAAAGTTTTGATTTTAACTCCTAGTGCTTTTATAAGAACTTTCCAGTGAATATAAAAAATAATTAATTACAGGGAGTATTTAAAAAGGCCGACCAATAAATACTAGAATTCAACATTAAAAAATAAAACCAGAGAATGCAACTTTGGTGGGCAGCAAATGAGAGTAACAGAAAATATTTTTATATTAATTATATAGTGATATAGTAATAGATTTGGGAATCAAACTGAGATTCCAATCTAAGGAGCGCTAAATTTTATTCTGTTTCAGTCTGCAAAATACAATGTGAGCTTTTGAGCACGGCCATTCAAGAAAAGAGAAGTAGGGTATTTTTCTAACAAGTCACATCTCTTTTCATATATTCACTTGGAAGAAATATTTTTTTTAGTAGTGTAATTTCATTGCTGTCTGTTTTAGGACTTTCAGTCCTTACTAGCTCAGTGGATCTGCTGAATGTTGTGCTGAATGTCCCAGTAATGGAGGACACTGAGAAGGTGGAGTTACTGAATATCTTCTTTGCTTCAGTCTTTACTGCTACAACTGCCCCTCAGAAATTCCAGACCCTAGATACAAGAGTTGAGTCTTGAGAAAGGAAGAGTTCCCTTGGTCAAGCAGTATCTGATCAGAGATCGTCTAGGCAAACTTTACCACAAATCCATGGGACCCAATGGGATGCACCCATGAGGCCTGAGGTAACTGGCAGAAGTGACTGCCAAACCACTCTCTATCATCTTTGAAAGGCCATGGAGAATAGAAGAAGTGTCTGAGAACTGGAGGAAAGCCAGTGTCACTCCGCTCTTCAAAAAGGGCAAAAGAAGGATCTGGACAACTAGAGGCCAGTCAGACTCACTTCCATCCCTGGGAAAGTGATAGAGCAGCTTATTCTGGATGCCATCTCTAAGCAAGTGGAAGAAAAGAAGGTTATCAGGAGTAGTTAGCATGGATTCATGAAAGGAAAATCATGCTTGAACAATATGGTAATCTTCTATGATGTCATGACTGGCTCGGTAAATGAGGGGCGAGCAGTGGATGTGGTGTACCTTGACTTCAGCATGGCTTTTGATGCTGTATCCCACAACATCCTCATGGATAAGCTTAGGAAGTGTGGGATAGACAAGTGGACAGTGAGGTGGATTGAGAATTGGTTGTCTGGCAAAGCTCAGAGGGTTGCGATCAGCAGCTTGGACTACAGTCAGAGACCTGTAGCTACTGGCATTCCCCAGGGTTCGGTACCAGTTAAGGTATTGTTCAACATCTTCATCAATGACCTGAATAAAGGATAGAATGCATCTTCAACAGGTCTGCTGTTTAGGCAAAGCTGGGAGGACTAGCTGACACTCTGACAGGCTGTGCTGCCATTCAGTGAGACCTGGTCAGGAGAGGTGGGTGGAGAAGAACCTGATGAGATTCAACAAGGGCAAGTGTAGAGTCCTACACCTAGGGAAGAATAACAGTATGCATCAGCACAGGTTAGGGCAGGCATGTCCAACTCACAGCCTGTGGGCCACATACAGCCCAGTGCAGCTCACAATGTGTCCCACTCCCTCCCTTTCCTGTGGCATAATGACAATGATTCTTCTGCATGAAGCAGCTTGGCCCAGCCCCGGGCAGGCAACCATCACTCAGCAACAACCAAACTTTGGTGTGCTATTAACTCTGGCTGAGCTGAAACCAGGATGTGGGGCATAGTGCAGTGCTAACTCAAGTTCTGACAAATATATTTATGCATTTTGATACGTTGGCTAAACACAGTGTGTGAACAGCAAAGAATATGCAGCTGTGCCTCCCTTTTGATACAAGAATTTGAGAATAGGTTTCAACATTGCCAAAAACTTACCATTTTTTTTTTTAATATTTGTGACTCCATTTTCAATTGGTATAAATAAATGACTTGCAGATTTTCAAATGGAATGTATAGAGTTGCAATCAGATATTCAACTAAAAATATTGATGATGTCTCTGTACTGGACTCTTATGAGCCCTGTTTAAGAGAGAGAAATATCCCTTACTTCACAATCACGCCTTACTCATGTCACCACTTTTTGGCAATATGTACATTTGTGAACAGCTGTTTTCAAGGAATAATCACAGAAAGAGTAAAATTTCATCAAAAAGCTCTGTTTAACACGTTGAGAACTCACTGAGAACAGCAACCACTTCCATTGAACCAGATTGATGCATTATTGTCACAAAGTCAAAGATCCCACCAGTTCAATGTTTTTTGTTTTTTTTTTTCTGTCCCTATTTATGTTTTAATAAAAAATATCAAACAAATCTTTTTTTACTTATATACATTAACTATTTTATATTTTTCGTGATGGTCGATTTGAAAGAAATTCTCCTATTTTATGATGTTGGCCCATGGTGTCAGAGGCAGATGTTGGTGGGATGGCAATAGAGGTTGAGCCTTCCCACCAATATTCCATTACATTCTGTTATCATGTGACAGATGGCAGCAGAGGGGTAGAATGGTGTCTGACATGGAACTGCTGATGAGGCAGAGGTGTGTCCTTGAATTCCTCCATGTGGAAAAACTGGCACCCACTGACATTCACTGACATTTGCTGAATGTTTATGGCGACCAGTCAGCAGAGGTGAGCACAGTGAGGCAGTGGCTAATCCCTTTCAGCAGTGGCAACAGTGACAGTGAGTCACCTCTGCTGGTGCAAGTTTTTATGAGCATGGCATGCAGGCTCCTGTTCATCACTGATGAAAATGCAGAACTAATGGTGGTGAATATGTTAAAAATAGTGTTTTGTAGCTGAGAATTTTCTCTATCAAATAGTGTTACAGTGCTCACTGTATCTTTTGTAGTTTCCATGGAAATAAATAGGAGCATTACTTTCAGAGCAGCCTATGTATATGTGGCCCAATAAAATTCCTCTTCACTCAGTGCAGCCCAGGCCAAAAGGTTGGACACCTATGGGTTATGGGCTGAGGTACTGGAGAGGAGCTCTACAGAGGAGCTGAGTGTCCTGCTGGACAATAGGTTGATTGTGAGCCAGAGGTGTACCCTTTTGGCCAGGAAGGCCAATGATATCCTGGAGTGAATTAAAAAGAGAGTGACTAGCAGGTGGAGGAAGGATGTCCTCCGCGACTGTTCTGCCCAGGTGACGCCACATCTGGAGTACTGTGTCAAGTTCAAGAAAGGCAGGGAACTGCTGGAGAGAGTCCAACATAGGGCCACAAAGATGATGAGTAGCCTGGAGCATCTCCCTTCTGAGGAAAGGCTGAGAGAGTTCAGCCTGGATAAGAGAAGACTGAAGGGGGATTTTATCAATGCTTATAAGTATCTAAAGGATAGGAGTCAAGTGGACGAGGCCAGGCTCTTTGTGGTGGTGCCAAGTGACAGGACAGGGGCAGTGGGAACAAACTAGAAAACAGGCGGTTACATCTAAACATGAAGAAAAATAACTTTACTTTGAGGGTGACAGATTAGCAGAAAGGCTGCACAGAGAGGTGTGGAGTCTCCTTCTCTCGAGATATTCAAAAACTGCCTGGATGCTTTCCTGTGTAACTTTCTATAGGGAACCTGCTTGGATTAGCTAATTTCCAGAGGTCACTTTCAATGTCTACAATTCTGTGATTCTGTGATCCAGTACGAGCTTCTCACATTTATTTAACTGTAGCAGGTTCAATCCTTAGAGTTGCTGAACAGTTGCAATACTCAAAGAAATCAACTTCAGCTGCAGGTGCTCACAGCATCTCTGGAGTACAACTAAAAAGAGAAAATGAGGCCTTCCACATATGAGATTCTCTGTTATATAGAGAGTACTGAGGAAAATAAGCTGGTAGATTCTTTACCCAGGAGAGAAATCAAAAGAAATAAAAATCTTTTCTTAACATCTAACATCTGGAAGGAAATATGAATAGTATCCAATATAAGGAAGGAATTTAAGGTAAATAATGTCTAAAAAAAGATGAACAAAAATATAAAAAAATAAGCTTATTATATTGGCTTTGCTAAAAGATGTTGTCTAATTATTAGTATAGAGACTCGGCATCCCAACCTTGTGTGCTGTTGGAAAAATTTATTTGGGGTTCTAATTGCCTTTATTGTGTTATAAATTGTTTTTTCTGCTTTTTCAGACTACATACCAAAAATTGGGCATATATGGTGTCCAAACAAAGTTATCACAGTTATTGACTGAATGCAAGTTTTTAAAAGTACCCTGTATTTGCAAAAAAAAAAAAAGTTGCATCAGCAAGCTGTGCCTGGTTTAATTTGAACACACTCCATATTACATAGGATATATAGGCTATTGCTAATTTTGTGTGATGTTTTTGTGTGCATAAAGCTATCTGAACTCAAAATTTAAGAGGACATTTGGAATAGTTTAGAATAACAAGCACGTCTCTAGCCCAAACACTTTTCCACTGTTTCAGAAAGGTCTGAAAAAAATTTCATGCCCCCACAGCAACTTTTCAGGCTTTTTCAGTACTTCTCACACTTTGTAGTCTATACAGGCAATGACAGAAGCAATGTGCTTCTTAGAATAATAACTATCAAGAGGTTTATAGAAAGAGTTTGCATTCAACCAAATCAGTTGCTGTCTGCTTTCAAAGCTGTTTCAAAGCTTGAGATGCATGAGGTGTTGTTTACATAATGGAAAAATCCCCAAAAGTAATCAAATTGAATAAAATGAATTTTCTTTGTGGTTATTGCCAGCGGTTCTTCCATATTGTAAACAGTATCTTAAATATAATGAAGTCTTTTGATAGAAAGGAATTTCTATTTTCTTTCACTATGAAAGTGAGCTATGTATCTTGAGGATACTCTCTGAGGAATTGTGGATATACCTGCTTTCCCTGAGGTGTTTGCCCAATTCTGTTTGTGGCACGTCTGTGCATTCTGCAGCAGAATTGGTGTGATTTATTTATATTTCTTAGGGCTGAAAGCTTGGAGAGACAAGAGGATACGCAGGGTGTGTGTGCAGCCTTAATATCCAAGGGTATGTTGTAGTCCTAAGATCTCTAAGCCTGCTTTCTTTGCCAATAAACATTATTCCTGAA